AGTGTACATTTCCCAGCTTCAGAGAATGCAGCATAATATTATGGTTTTATATAAATTTAAGACCCCTATTTGGCAATGTCAAAGTGGTGAGTGAATGTATTGAAGAATGTGAAAATAAATTATTGATAGAAGTCTAATAATTATAAACACAGTGTTTCAGAGATTTGCCCAAGAGAAAGGAGAAATAGTCTAATATGCAAAATTATTCCTCTTCACATAGCACCTCTTTGTGGCTTTGGGGAAACAGGTGAATGAAAAGGACAGAAACGTAAATACAGATTCCTATTATGTAAAAATGGCCATTTTCCTAGTGTTGTTGATGTGATATAAAACATTTCAAAAAAAATGCCAGGCTCTGGGAATGCAATGCTGTTAATTGCAGGCATTTGCTATTCGCTGTCATCATTAACTAAAGCAGCTCTTTCTTAACTGCTCCAAAGGACATTTTTTTTATTGTATTATTACTGCATGCTTTAAGCTAGGAGCAGCTGCCATTCTGACAGGCCCATTCTCATCTTATGTTATATAGGGTGGAAGTCAAAGGCCAATACTGTGTTTGCCTCATTGATGTTACTGTTTCTAAATATCTGCTTAAGCTGAGCATACTACTTTCTCTTTAATGATACGGGCATCATTCAATGCTCTGTATCTCATTACAGGTGATACTTAATGATTTTTGTGTGATATTCACACATGTTAGATAAATGGGATTATCAAATCCTTTTCTTTGTTTCACCACACTTCAACCCAGGTATTTTCCCTCACAACTACTCCCTGTTTCATATGTTTTCTAACATATTTTAGCAAGATAGCAAGTTTTTTCAGTACCATATATCAGAGAGTACTTTCCAGATTGTGTTAATGGTGTCCTGTATTTTTAGGGCTTTTAAAAAGACAGGTTATTCTTAGATGATGTTTTAAGGTTTCTTAATAATTTTCTGATTTTATTTTGTGCTGTTCTGAGTTGGATGAAGTGTCTATGCAGTGGTTCTTTGTTTGTATAGGCATTTTAGGGGTGAAATGGAACAGGCAGGCTTATGTTTCAAAAACTGTTAACTGGTTTTGAGTGCATTTTGTCTTTTTGAGTTCTTCTTCCTTAAGGTGACTGTCTTCAAGAATCCCAGAATTTATGTAATCTAAATCAGTATTTATTGCTGTAAATAGGAGACAAACCATTGGAGTTTCTAGTCCAGGTCTGTGTCAAACTACTAGATTAAACACTGGGTACTGATTCTTGTACATACCTCCTCATCATGCTATTTTCCATTTAGCCATTAAGTTCAGGAAATATATATTTCGCAATATACTACTTCTCACTTAATCTACCTGCATGTTCCTGCCATCAAGCAATTAAAATAATGAAAACTGGTAAGCAGAGTGGGTAAAGATCCCTTACTTGTAATATTGAACTTGTAAATAATTAATCAACTATCGTCACTGTCAGGTTATTATTTGAAGCACCTTTTTCAGGTGTTGGTGTTAGTTATTCAATGCTTTGAGATGAAGAAATAGTAATGAAACAAGACTATACACTTAATAACGGGACTGAATTTTATGTTCAGTATTAAAAAAATGCAGCCTTTAAACCTCCTTTAATCACTGCACAATTGCATAATGACTTGGGGATAAACTTTTCCTAATACTCAACTGCCAATTAAGTAAGATAAAAAGCTAGCCATGTAAATGAAAAATATAAAATATCCCAACTGAATACAAATATTACATAACAGCAACTAATCTGCATGTTAATTATAGCTACAATAACGGCAGGAGCTAGGCTGATCATGACAGTTCCAAATCATACTTGGCAGGGGATGATTGTTTTACTTAAATTTTAATTAAGAAATAATATGGGTGGGAGATTTTTATAGAGGTTAAATAAGTAGTATAAATACAGAATTATAGCCATTCAAATTTATTAAAGTCTTGAATAACTTCAGACAATCAAATACTGAATAGGTTTGTCATGTTTTACTGTTCTATTCTATTGGCAACCAAAAGTCAATACAACAAAGGAACTGTAGGTTATGAAAACCTTTTCAAAATGTAAAAGCTACCTTTCTCCTTCAATTAAGTAAATTGCCTGCTCTTTCATTGAGTGCTAGGAAATTTTAAATTATTTTTATATCTTATGAGCAATCACATCTATTGACTAAAAGATTGGTGGTAAGGAATATGTACACAATAAAAGAATTTTCTGACAATACAAGTTCACTAACATAAAATTGACTATTTTATTCAGCTATGTGTTTATTTTTCTGTAGTTCTGTGACTTTCTATAGCAAAGTTTATAGTTGTGTTTTTAGCATCTGTGCACTTTGAAACAAGGGTCACTGGGTGAAAAGATCAAAAAACCTGTGGTTTTATCATGACTCTGCCAGTGACTTCTCTAGTGACTGAGTTAGGCACCTAATCACCACCTCAGTTTTTTTATCTGAGAGGAAAAGATAATTATGCCTCCTTTACTATGAAAACCACATTAACTCATTCAATATAAACTCGTACAGAGTATGAAAGCTCACTGTGCAATGCAGAGGAGGACCATGGAGTAAAATCTGGTGTGTGAAGGTTACAGTTCTGAAGGACAAGCTGTAGCAGCTACAAAAGGCAGAGGAGTGGGTGGGAAGAGGGAAGGCAATGGCCTGTGCAGTGTTTTACGCTGTCTGTGGCTGTCAGGACTGTGAGGCTCCCGCAGGCCGGGGGCCTGCCCAGTGCCCTGGTGGCAGCGGTGGGACAAGGCCCTGGCCTTGAGCCGGCCTGGGGACAGCGGCCTGGGGACAGCCGGCCTGGGGACAGCCGGCCTGGGGACAGCCGGCCTGGGGACAGCCGGCCTTGGGACCGCGGCCTGGGGACAGCCAGCCTGGGGACCGCGGCCTTGGGACAAGCCGGCCTTGGGACAGCCGGCCTTGGGTCAGCGGCCTTGGGACAGCCGGCCTTGGGTCAGCGGCCTGGGGACAGCTGGCCTTGGGACAGCAGCCTGGGGCTCAGGCAAGGGCACCTGGCTGGGGCTCACCAAGGCCAGGGCTGTGGGAGCCCTGGGTGGGGCTGAAATGGTGTCCTGGGCCACAGAGGGCGTCTGGGTCATGGGAGACCCTGGGGACAGCACCGAGGACCAGTGAGGCTTTGGAGATATGTCTGGATTGCCTAAGCTTCAGTATCGTTTGGAGTATAGAACCTAGTTTTGCCTTTTCTGGTTTATAATCAAAACCCTGATGGTGGTGAAGGCATTTTTTTGGGACTATTCTCTATGGCTGTGTGATGCTGTGGGTCACCAGCTGGCTCCAGCCAAGTGTTGCTCTGCTGGAGATGCCTCATTCCGTGTTGTACAGTGCTGTCCTCTGCAATGAGCTCATTCCTGTAGGTTGTGCTCCGTGTGTGCAGCAAAGGATGTTTCTTTCAATGCAGAGTGCAAAACATCTGATTCACTGTGTCCAAATTTGTCAGTGAATGAGGTCCCGTTATGCAAATAATAGTTTTAAGTAATTTTAAACTTCTGTTGAGTTATTTGCTTGGGAAGTGTACTGAATTACTGTTGTAACTCTGAATAATTTGTTATTATCAATATAGTAACATCACACTGCTGTAATATCTAGTAAGAACATGAAGCCTGCTTTCTGGGAGGGAAACTAACAGAGAAAAAAGGATATGATTAGCTAATTAGGTTGCAATATTGAGCTTCTCTAAAAACAACTGTTGGTCTCCATATTACATTTTTAGCATTATTCTGCTGTTCTTTGCTGACAGATTCAATGAAATTGCTTTATTAGTTGAGTGCTACTCTCAGGAATTGCTTGTACCTTTGTGTCCTGCTGTGTCCTCAAGGCCATCTCACAGCTACGGGTTTTGACCGTCACAGGATAGTACTTCTACTGTAGTAATTATCACATAACCAGCATCAAGCATCTTTGCTTGTATAAAAGATATCCCAAAGGGGATTAGTGGCAATTGATTTCCTGCTTAGTGGCCTACAGACAAGTAATCTATAAACAAGATCTTTCAAGGTATTGGCTAGTGCAGAGTGCTTGGAACATTAATGCAGTTCTAGTGCTCAGGACTTTCTTCACCACTGAATTTTGCTGCCTCTCCTATTTTTGTTTAGTGTAACTTGCCAAGTATTCAGGAAGTCATTAGTATTATGCTGTCACCAAAGGCATGCTCATGGCACTTTGCATTCAGTATTATTTAAACACTGTACAATCTACACTGGCTTTTCCTGTCATCCCCCCGATGTTTGTGCAGCACCCATGACTGTAGCACATTGCAGGCAGTTGCAGAGCACGACATCCTTGCTGCAGCATCCGTGAGAGACTGATACAAATTCCAGTGCTTGTTACTCATCAGTGAGCTTGGTGCAGCTGAGGCTCCTCTAATTTCTAGCTCTTCTTCCTGTAAGAGCCACTTACTGACAGAATAATTCCTGTGATATATTAAACACTTTCATTGAAACACAGGTTCACTGATAGCATGGCAGCTCCCTGCAGATACTTTATTATGGATTTTGTTCCGCTCACACTTGATAATTGTTGTCTTGTTACATCATGCTTCTCAGTGAAGGTTTACTCAGATAATTAATTCTAGTGATAGGAAATTAAAATTGTACATAAATTGTGTTCACACCTAGTATGCATTATTTTGAACTGATACATCAAAAGGTCTTTCGGTGTATGTCTGACAAATTCATTATATGTGACTCTATAATTGCATACAGAGCTGTTGTCAATTATGTTGCTTGTAACAAAGGGACGTATCATGTATTTGGTGTGAAATATATGTTTTAAAGATGTAATGTCAAGGAGAGTGTTATTATCTAGTTTATCTGGTTAGAATATTTCTATTTCTCTTATTTCTAAAGATGTGGCCAAGTAGGTTCTTAATTTCACCTAGCAGAAATTCAGGAAGACAGATTTTCTGTTTTTTATTACTGTTCTTGGCCCTATCTATATCCTGACTTTCACTGTCAAATTGCTAAACATTATCTAACCCAAAAACTTACTTTGCAGGAGGCCCAAAAGATCAATGGTGGTGGAGATACACAGGCAGATGGAGCCTGCAAACCAACAGATGAAAAAGAGGAGAATGTGGCAGCAGAAGTGGGATGGATGACGTCTGTGAAGGATTGGGCAGGAGTCATGATATCTGCCCAGACATTAACTGGCAGAGTACTTGTAAGTTTTCTATGATTTTCTATGTTGTTATTTTAAAGAATGTTTTTAAGAAGCACTATGTCCCAGCATTAGTGGAGGATTTTTGATTGGTTTGTTGCATCAGCACTGAATCAATCCCAGTTTTCTCTGCAAAGTAGCAGACTAATTCCCAGTGCAAGAGAGAGGCAGAGAAAGCAAGTAAAAAATGACTGCCAGTCCACTTTCCAGCATATTTCACTCCTCTGGCCCATGATTTTGAACTACAAACAGTGAATTTATTAATTTCATATTAGGTGTTAAAACTATAGACATATTTTATCTGAAAGTAAAATTGTACTTGGAAGAATGGAAGCAAACCTGGAAATTAAGCCAAGTATTACAAATGTAGAGAGCGGTCAGAACTGTAAAGCAAAAATAAACTTCTCGTGGCTGTGCAGTGAGGTTTGTGATGTATTCAATAGACTAATAATGATTTTATATTCCCTTCATATTTTTCTTTATTAGTGTAGAAATCCTTCAAACCTGTGAATAGTTACGTATCAAATGGAGACAGATGATACATGGTTTAAAAGGAAAAAAACTTTTACTTTTTCACTTTATTTAAACATAATTGCTTTAGAGCATTGTCAAATATTAAAATGCAAGGATTTTCTGTGGAGTTCACTGCAGTAAAAAGTGTCCCGTATGTAATTTGGATTAGTTTTCTTTTTAGAATGCACATACTTGTAAACCAGAAGCTGAAATGATTTAAATCCCATTTAAAGCTTCAGAGAATCCCAGTGAAACTTTGTAACTAGTTTTGGTTGAACTGAAAAAGGATTTGTGTCTTTGGTTAAGATATATTTTATGGTGAATCATTTTTGGGCTATTTAGATGGAGGAGGAAGTGGAGGAAAATAAGAGATTCCACTAGTCTTCTAAAGCAAAAAGTTAAGGTGACTTAATTGCAACTGTATTGCTTAGTTCTGCAACAAGAGTATTTTGATTATTTTTCCTAAAAATACGATTATTCACTTTTGTTTATGTTCATTGCTGACTTTTATCAGTATCTGGAAAGTGTGTTCCCTTGCTGCTTTTAGCACTATGTGTCTTCTATGTGCAGCTGCCATGTTTACAGGCTTTTAGTGATTGTCTTCTTAAAAATGGCATTTTGCATGTTTCCTGACATCTTCAGTGTTAAAAATGAAAAACCTTAAAGTCATGCTTCCAGTTCCAGTTTAGAAATCCCCCAAAGCCAGAGTCCTCTGCTCCCACCTCTGCAGTCAGAAATTGCCCTGTGTTGGTTTTACTGGGCTGTATGTGAACACAGATACAAACCAACCACTGGGACCAAAACCTAATGTACATAATATAAAATACATTTTACTTCAATATAGTGGGAGAATTTAACACTGTTTGATGATTTCATTTATTTCTTGGGAGTATTTTTTAGAGTTTCACATTGCATTTTATAAGGGACCAGCTGGCTAATGTCACTGGGTTAGGTTATTTCTGAGAGAATATTTATGATCTTGTCAAGGTATAGCAGCACATATTGTGCACATCTGGGTTTATCAGTATGCCTGACCATCTTGAGAAATCAGATGCATGGAACCTCTTAGTTAATTTTAGTCAGTTTAAAAAACAAAGTACGTTAATTTTAATACAGCACTTACCACGTTCAGTATTTGAATTGACAGGACATAATTTATGGAGGATCATTTCCAGAATGGACCATTTGGGTGTTAATTTAAATTTTACTTTCTGAGAATATTTGCTAAAGGTTAACTGCTTCAATGAAAATTTGTGCTAGAGGTTAATAATGCCATTATTTTTAGATATAGGATGTAGCAAAATCAAATCAATATTTATGTAGAAGTATATTGTTTGAAAATATTAGGACTTAATAATGGATTACTATTAATTTAATACAGCCTATTCCTGACAGCTACTCTGTTTCTGAATTGAACTGCAAAATTTGTTTTTTCCCCTGAAGAAAGAATTGGTGATTTCACAGTCCTCTGAAATCAAAATTGTATGTGATATCTGCAGCTAAAGAAATTATTATACACTTATACACTGTGCGAGTTTAAATTAAAATTAATTTTATACATAAATTAAAATTATACATCCAATGTTTACAAAAAAAGTTTCAAAAGCAGTCCAATGAAGATGGACTTGGGAAAAGAGTTATAACTGAACTTCAGTTCAGCATGGTCACCTGAAGGCTATTGTGGAACTGCTGCCTGGGTTTATTTAGGGAGTGAATGAGACAAGTTAGCACAGTGTGGAGCACGCATCAGTGTAAAGTAGAAGCTTATTTGTGTTTTTTTGCTTATGGGAAAAGCTCCCATCATTATTCTTACCTGGACAGGCATTTTCTTCACAATGAATCTTAGTGGAATGTGAAGTGCTGTTTGTGGAATCTAAAAGGGCTACTTTATGGAACTCTCACTTCTGGGTTCTGTCACCATACCTTTGACATGTCTGATCTAGCTTTTATTTCTTCCCTTGTGACCCTACAAAACAGCTTTCTAATTTATCGTATTTGTTTGTCCAGGTACTTTGTGAATATTGAAACAAATATTTAAATAGTGGGTGCTCCCGTAATTACCCCTTTAATTTTTAAACTTTATGGCTGTCCACAGGTGAAGTAAATAAAGGCCAACAGTGTGGAAAATAGAGGACAACATATATGTTTAAAGGTTATAGCCACATAGTGTAGTACAAGATTGGGCATTTCCATTGGCATTGGACCATTTGTACAATTCTCTAGTGAAATAAAATATTTCTATTTATACAACAGATGCAGATTTAAAGGCCTTAGGCAACATTGTAGCCATAGAACTACTTGAAAACTTTTAAGTCAGAAAATAATTTTTTCCAACATACTTTACAAAATCATGTGTTTGTGCATCTGCTGGAAAGTAAGGGATCTAACTTGTTATTCATGGTCTGGGTCATTTGAGACAATTAATGAAATTGTTTAATCCAATCAGAGACAAACACTGAAGTCATTGATAGAGATGACTCTCCTCCACACTAGTTGTCTTATAAGTGTTTAATTCATTGGTGTTTGTGAGGGAAGGAAGGTTTCTGTACCTGAAATGAATGCTGAAAAAACCCAGCCATGTTTGTAATCCCCTCACCACCCATTCCATTAATTAGTTGGAAAATTACATTTAAAGAATAAACAAAGAAGAGAAATCAGAACCTTGTTGTTGTTGTGAGCATCATGAGAAACAAGAATGGGAGATTTTAAATAGTTAAATAATTGAATTTTCAAAGCATTTCACTGTCTTATTAATATTAATATGCTTATTAAGATGTCAGGTGAGTGTTTTCTAGCCTGTAGGTCATGTCTGTAAGAGATGCAAAAGTGGCATGTGCATGGGATTGTACTAATATTGAATTGTTTCAGTAGTTATGTGAATACAGTAAAGATAAAGTACTGAAATAGAAATAGACATTCTTACTGCTTTAGTAGCTAAATTTTATTTCTGACTTTTCATAAGTGGCTTAGGCACAGAGAATCATTCACACTACCCAGTTTCATCTGAAGGGCAGGCTTTGGAGGAAGAGATTTGTATAAGGAGATGCAGAATGTCCTTCAGTTAGAAACTGTTTTTGTTTTTTGAAGTAGTTGCGGCTGGCTAAGTATGATGCCTACACTTGTGTGGCCAAAATAGCCTTTTTTCCTCATGCTTTATCTTTGAGAAGCACAACTGAAATATAATGTTCTTGGTGCCACAACCTTTGAAAATGTGATTTTGTGCTTAAACAATGTAGATGGAATTTGACGTATGATTTAAAAATGTGTCCACGTTAAATTGCATAAGCACACGATTTAAGAACATGCTAATTGAGCCTGAGCAGTTCTGTCTGCATTTGATGTTGAGTGACACAAATATAAATAACAGCAAAAGGTAGCAGTTTACTTAAAATCTGTTCAGGGAAATAGCAATTTACTTTGAAGTGCTGTAAACTGCTGTAGATGATGTAAGCATTAGATTTCTGAGGTGAATTTCTCAAAGAAGAGTCAGACACATTCATAATTAATCTCAAGATGCAGGAAATTAAACATGTTTATGAACTGATTTTGCTTCCTGAAATTATATCAATTGAGTAAGAAGAAAAAGATTTCCTTAACTAGATGAAATGTTTGTACAATATACATATGACTTTATTCTGTGTATACAGAATAAAGTCATATGTACATTGTTGAATTTGACACAGTTCAGTCTATGGAAAGCTGTAGACCCTTGACTGGGCTTGTGAGGAACTATTAAAAAATGGAAGAGGTCCTCACTACTCATTTGGGGAAAACTGGTGGATCTTTAATTATATAAGTATTTATAGTAACTTTTCCTGGGAAACATATGTAGGTATTTTATATGATTTTTGCTTTTGATTGCTTGCGTGTTTTGGTTTTTTTCAGTGTTTTTCACTAGATTTGTTCTTGCTGGTTTTTATTTACTTTTAATTTTTTTCTTCTGAATGAGAGGACTCAATTTTTTTAGTGTTGAGGGGGGAAAATCCCCACAACCTCTAGTGATAAGTAATAGCTTTCTAGCTGCCAAAGTGAAATTTAACAGTACAGAAATTGTGGGGTTTCTCCCTGTTTCCAAACACTAATGAGAATAGGAGCTCAAAGGATAGTTTGGTATTTGACAGACAAGAAATTGAAGAAGCAGGTGTAGTTGGTATACATATATATGTTTTGACAGTGTTCTTGACAGGATCAGCTCTTTCACTACATTTTCGAAGCAGGAAGAGAAACCTTGAGCAAATATGCATATGCTGCACCTCAAATTCCTATATGAAGTTTAATATGAATTCTCAAGGATATGCAAAGTTCTCATAAATTTCTTTCTTTTTCTTTTAATTTGGACTCTCTCATCCTGGTAATGTCCTGTAACCAATCTTCTTGTGAAATTAACATACATTTTTTTTTTCTCAGCATGTGTAATGTTCTTAGGATGCAGTTAATCTGAATAGGACTTAATTTAGAATAAAATATATAAATTGACTAGAGAGTAGGAA